TTTTCTGAGCCTGTCAAGTCCTTCTTTTGACCCATTTTGCCAAAGGAAAGGAAGTTGCCTAATAATTATGCACACCTGATATAGGGTGTTGATGTCATTAGACCACACCCCTTCTCATTACAGAGATGCACATCACCTAATATGCTTAATTGGTAGTAGGCTTTTGAGCCTATACAGCTTGGAGTAAGACAACATGCATAAAGAGGGTGATGTGGTCAAAATACTCATTTGCCTAATAATTCTGCACTCCCTGTATGCATTCACATTGACACTATATACAAAATAGCACATGTAGTCATCCAGATATGCACAAGTGCATTCACACAGACTCAAATACAAACATGCGTTGATACATAGGTCTTCACACTGTACACATCCAAAGGAATGCCGTATTATATGAGAGTTATATTTAACATCTATTTAATGCACATGTTTTTGGCCTTCAAAGGGCCTGAGATCTAATTTTGCTATGGGTTCCCAAAAGCTCAGTCCGTCCCTGATCCGTGCTCTTTTTGCTCTGTTACCAAGGACCACAAAACGTTCTAGGTAGGTATCAACCCTTTTGCCTGTCCTTCTCTTTCCAGGCAAGTAAAGACCCCTGTGCCTGTCGTAATTCTTCCATGCAGAACTTCACTTTCTTTATTGCACAGTCTGTTTAATTTAGAAAGTCTTCTCTCCTGCTCTGTTAATAGCCTACTGGACCCTGCAGGTGCCTCCTGTGGGTTATTAAACTTCAATATACAGAGCAGGAGATAAAAACTTATTAAGTAAGTTAATATCTGATTAAAAATGAGATCATTGTTTTGCGGAGTGTCTGGCGATTAGGCATGTGGATGGGGAAAATTTTCGGTTCGGTTCGGCATTCCGAAATTCGGGACTTCGGCAATTCGGGACTTTGGCAGTTCGGTTCGCACTTCGATACTTCAGCAACTTCAACACTTTGGCATTTTGGGACTTCCGCATTTTGGAATTTTGGCACTTCGAGACTTCTCTTGCAGCCGCTTAGTAGATAACTCCCTAATTCCCATAGTATTAGGGAGTTATCTACCAAAAGGCTGAAAGACCTAAATTGGTCTTTCAGCCAAATTTACTAATACTAAGTAAAAATGACTTAGTATTATTACATTTTGCCCTTACTCGCTATACAGTGAGTAGGGGCTTGTCTATTAAACAGGGGCATGTCTATTAAACAGTGAGCAGCCTGTTAAAAAAAAAAGGGTCCTGACCGGTGGCTGGGGGCCCTAAAGTAAAATAACGGGGGGGACCTATTGTCCTCTTCCCCGGCCCCCACCCCTGAGCGGCGGGTGGGGGCCCTAAATTAGAATGGGGGGGGCCTAATGTCCTCCCCCCTGGCCCCAAACCCTGAGCGGTGGGTGGGGGCCCTAAATACTAATAATGGGGAGGACCTAATGTCTTCCCCCCTGGCCCCCAGTGGGTGGGGGCCCTAAATACTAATAAGGGGGCCCTAAATTAGAATAAGGGGGGACCTAATGTCCTCCCCCCTGGCCCCAACCCCTGAGTGGTGGGTTGGGCCCTAAATACTAATAAGAGGGGGGACCTAATGTCCTCCCCCCTGGCCCCCCCCTCTGAGCGGTGGGTGGGGGCCCTAAATACTAATAAGGGGGGGCCTAAATAAAAATGTTACCCCCCCAGGTGACTAGGGGTCCCCAAACTCCTAGTCACCCCCCTCCAAAAAAACTAACCACTACCTACCCCCCTCATCCTAAAAATAATAAGGGGGGCCATTAACTAAGTACCTGTAAAAAAAATAAAACTTACCATTTGATGTTTTCTTTCTTCTAAAATCTTATTTTTTTCAGCCTCAAAAAAGGCCAAATAAAAAATTCATAATAACCGACGCACTTAAAAAAATAAATAAAAAAATAATCTTTCTTCACCCATGGAGGGCTCCGCGCAGACTGAGCTCTGCAGGGCGGGGGAAGGCTTATAAAGCCTTGTCCCGCCCTGCAATTAGGATCAGAGCACTCTGATTGGTGGGTTTAAGCCATTCAATCAGAGTGCTCTGACAGGTAAATGAAGAGACTGACAGGTAAGTCTCTACATTTACCTGTCACAGCACTCTGATTGGTTGGCTTGAAATCCACCAATCAGAGTGCTTTGTGTCATTTTACATAGCGTGGGAAAGTTCTTTGGAATTTTCCCACGCTGTGTAATTTGACTCATAACACTCTGATTGGTTACTTAATCCATCCCCTTATTAGTATTTAGGGCCCCCATCCACCGCTCAGGGGTGGGGGCCAGGGGAGAGGACACTAGGTCCCCCCCTTATTAGTATTTAGGGCCCCCACCCACCGCTCAGGGGTGGGGACCAGGGGGGAGGACATTAGGTCATCGTCCCTTTTTCTAATTTAGGGCCCCCACCCACCGCTCAGGGGTCCCCCTCTTATTAGTATTTAGGGCCCCTTCAGGTTTGAAGCACCCATTCGCGCGGCATGGGTGGAGACTCGGGGGGGGGAGGCTCTTTTTTTTTTTAACTGAGCAGCCATAGGCATAAAGTTGGCTGAAAGACCAATTCAGGTCTTTCAGCCTTTTAGTAGATAGTTCCCTAATACCGTGGGAATTAAGGAGATATCTACTTATTCATTCCTGTCATTCCATTGACTGGCCAAGTAACTTACATTTTAAATGAATGAATGTTACTTAATTGTTGTAAGTGTTGCAAATGCTTACAGCTGAATCCTGGCTGTTTGTATACTTTTATTTCAAATTGTATACAGTGTAACATTGTTCATTCTTCCACTGGGTAAGTATATTAGTTCTTAGGCAATACTGTGCTTCAGAACTTTGGCACTTCGGCAACTTCGGCACTTCGGAAATTCGGTAATTTCGGAACTTCGAAAATTTGGCAATTCATCTATTCGGACATTCGGAAGTACCGGAATGTCCGAATTGCCCGAAATTCGTCCAAATTCACATTTGGACCGAAATTAATTGCACATGTCTACTGGCGATGGCTTCTGGTATCCAGTACTTTTTTTTACAATTCTGGTTTAGTTTTTCCTGTTTTTTTCTTGTTTTCTTTTCTATGTCTGGTTTTCTTTATGCTGGGTTTTTCTGGGTTCATTCCTTTATTCCGTTCCTGGAATTCCCAGTCTCCTGGATTCCTTTAAATGTTTTTTTTTTGCCACACCTGTTCTTTGCCATTTAATCATTTTTGTTTCAGTCTGTTCCTGCAGGCAGTGGTTACATTCCTCTGCACAGTCCCTCGCGGTAAGTACTGTGTGTGTTTTATTGTTGTTTATTTAGTCATGCATATCTAGGCAGTTAGGTGACACCGTAATTGGAGTACTCTGGTGCAGTGGTGGGCTGCATACATATTGGCCATTTATGTATGTCTAAATGTCCAATGTTTTACATATATAGTACTTAGTTATGTCTCCTTGTTTTGCCTTGCATCTCTTGTCTTGTTTTATTTTGTCTTCCCAGTTCATGTACAGTCCTGTCCTGTTCATGTTTTCCTCATGTCTTGTGTACATGTTCTGCTTTCTGTCCTGCTCTGGTTATGGGTTCTTGTCTTGTTTTCTTGTTCGGTGCCTGTTCTAGTCTTGCCTTGTTTCTGTACTGGATACATATCTTCTGCAGAGCCTCCCTATCCATATCCCAGGAGGTCTGCATATTTTCATCTGCTCCTGGGATCCGCAGAAGCTGCATCAGGGCCCTGGCATGTTGCTGCACAAACACTGGTGCTCAATCAGGCAGCTCCTGATAGTCATTTCCACCCTGAGACTCCCATCATCATCATCAGACACTCGGGGTCTCGGTCTTCGAACCGCCACCCGTGACACTAGGGATCCATAAACAGAAACAAAAGTGGCAGAGAATTAAGCAGGAAGACGGCAAGGGCTTGATCTATCTACCAAAACTGCTTCACTAAGCTAAAGCTGTTTTGGTGAGTATAGTGTGCCTTTAACTTGTGTAAACACTGTAAATAAATGATAATCTCATAGTAAGTATGCCGACAACAATATTATTATGAAATGTGACTCTGATGAATGGTAAGTCTAGGGAACATATACCATAAGAATGCAAAATGTTGTTTTGTTCAAAATATGCAAAACACATGTAAAATATAAGCAAACACATGACTAGGTGACTTGGAATGTTTAACAAATAGATGACGCTGTGACAAAATGTCCCTGTGGATGATTGTCATTCCATTATGGTATTCAACCAATAAATGGCACTGTACCACATATTGTCCCGGTGGGTGGTTGTGGTTTTATCAGACACCCCAAAGAAAACATGCAAAAGAAAATACATGTATTTATTTTTTAATGGTTAAGGAGAAAAAATACATTGGAATGGAAAGTTCCTTTAAGCAGACATGTCACCTTTGGATGGTCACTACAAATGATCATTAACCATCCTCCTGCTTCCCTGGCCCACATTCCCTTAAAGCATGATCCTACAGCCGTATCTATTCTTAAAGGGACACTATAGGCACCCAGACCACTTTAGCTCATTGAAGTGGTCTGGGTACAGTGTCCTAGTCCCACTTATTCCTGCAATGTATATCATTGCAGTTTTAGAGAAACTGCAATGATTACATTGCAGGACTAAGACGACCTCTAATGACTGTCAATCAGAGAGTCACTAGAGGCACTTCCTGCTTGCTAGGTGTGTTTTGGTCATCTAACTGACACTGGACGGCCTCACGCTATCCAGCGTCAGTTAAATCCTTATAGGAAAGTATTGTAGCAATTATGCGTTTGTGGCTTTACCACGCATGCGTATTATCACAACACAGCGGATAAAATTGGATGAGGGAGAGCGCTGACCAAGCGCGGAGGCAGTACAGCGCTGGAATCGGTTAAGTGCAGAAAGGGTTTTTAACCCTTTCAATGCTGGGGGAAGGAGGGAGCTATAGTGTAAGGAATATAGATTTGTATTCCTCACACTATGGTATTCCTTTACCTATTTAATCACTTCTCAAGAAGTAATCCCCTCCTCTCTGTGCAATACATGGGTATTATTTTTTGGCAGGGGAGAGGTCCGGGGAGGAGAGATCTATCTGGTTGTCATCAGCGTACAAGTGGTAGTAAATCCAAAAGAGGTAAGAAGTTTGCCTAGAAAGGCAGTATAAAGTTCATACATTTGGATGGATATTCTTTACTCATTTTTAGGGACAGACAGTTTGCCAAAATCTTTTACTCTACATTTAAATCTTCACAAACCTACTGCACAAATTTCTATTCATTTCCTTCCACCTAGAGATTGCCCCTGCACCTGACCTTGCTCTGTAATAAAGCCCAAAATTTTTACCATCACTAACCACCCTCCTTTATCACCTGGTCCTTCGGCTGTTTCTAATCTGAACTATTTAATGACCTCAGAAGATACAGTATTAGCATACATTCCCTCATCTGTCTATTACTTCTAAACAACCTCTGCTACCTATTGTATCAACTCCCCTTTATTACCTATAGATTGTAAACTCACTTTTTTCTCATATTAACTCACTGTTCCCTCTGTTCCTTTTGTGTCAGTAAGTGTTCATTATTTATCTGAATTCCCTCTTTTGTCCAGCATTGCTATATAAATACCAAATAATAATCCTATTTAGTCCTGCTTCCTCTGAACTGCAATATGTCTTTATTTAATTTGTGAATATGAACAATGTTCCAACTCAGCTAGTTTTTAACCCCTTAAGGACCAAACTTCTGGAATAAAAGGGAATCATGACATGTCACACGTCATGTGTCCTTAAGGGGTTAAACCTTGTTTGTGTTGGATTAAATCTTGCCACCTGCTTGCCAGTTCCCCAGTTTTCTGTATAGTGAATCGTTTAGAGGAGGCTGTAACCAGAGCTAAGGGGTGTGTGTCTCAGCAGTCTTTGTTTTCTTTCAGCATTTCGAAACCCGAGCAATCTCTCTCAAAATACAAAGTGGCATTCTGGAACTCAGCGGCTAGACATCATGATTCTGAGCTCTTGTTTCTGGGAAGTAGAAATAATTGCCTGCGTTGTCTGCTTACTTCTTCTCATCCCGATATACCATCGATTCACAAGCAGACATGTTGTCTTGGATCCAGAAGGACGAGCTGTGCTTATTACTGGCTGTGATTCGGGGTTTGGGAACATGCTGGCTCACAGACTATTGAAAATGGGCTTTACAGTTTTTGCAACCTGTCTGTATCCTGAAGGCGAAGGAGCTCAGTCATTGATTAATGGTTACCCCTCAGACAGAGTAAAAGTTGTGCGACTTGATGTGAGCAGCGATAAGGAAATGGATAATGTCAAACAGTATGTGTTAAACAACCTGCCTGAAAAAGGTAACTTTTAAATAGTACTCATTTAACACAAACTATTGTGCCGTGCAGGTGCACTTGAGGGAAGTGCAGGTAAACTCTTACAAGGTTGCTCATTAAACCCTGGTTTGAATCGGAAACCAAATTGCAACATTTAAGCAAAATGTGCTGATTTGTATTTTATTTTCCAGATCAGCTGTAGTCGCAGATTTAGCATACGATTTATACCATTTTGGTGAATAAAACCTTTTAGGTCATCACTTGCCACTGTGTTTCAACTATCTGGGACTCAGACTGTTTAAATTCTTGATTTTTCTGCAGCATTCTAATAGTTAAATAGACACTATAGGCACCCAGATCCCATAATTTTTATTGAAGAGGTGTGGGTGCCATGTTTTAACACTGCAGCTGAAAACATTGCCATTCTGCAGGACAGCCACTAGAGGCACTTTCAAAGAAACCACAGAATAAAACTATGCTATGTCTACCAGATGGTCTCAGAAAGACCATCAGATTGGTACAGTGTGGCGTTCTGCTGCGCATGCGCATCAGCCTCTGAATGCTTTCTTATGGAAAATCATTGGATTGGCTTTGATCTATTTCGATGCTGTTGATTAAGGAGATGTAGCCAGCCACAGAGACCTGTACGGCGCGGCAAAAAAGTAAGTCAAACTATTTTATTTTTAAATTTATTATTTATTTTTATTGTCGGGGTTGGAGACCTAAACAGCCATCAGGAACGATGGCGTTAGGAATACACATTTGTATTCCTAACGCTATAGTGTCTTTTAGTTATGAAACAATCTGATACTCACAGGGTTATTTACTAAGGTGAGAATTCCAAGTAACTTTTTTTTTTTAAATAGAATAGCTGAAATTAAAGCATAGCCGACATTGAAATAATTAATAGTTACGTCCATAAAGCTGTATGTGTTCCAGCCATAACATCATTAAGGTCTTATTGGGTTATTCACTAAACCAAGAATTGAGAGGCCTGACTTGAGAATTCTACTTTTTAGGACAAAACTAAAATTGGGAAAATTCTCTAATTCATTATTTATCTCCTTTATTTTGACTCTGAAATTTCTCAGTCAATCCTCTGTAATTGCTGACTTAGTGAGTAACTTTGAATTTATTCAAGGCTGTGCCAAGGTAGCTGTGCCAATAATATAAATGCAAACAAAGTGATTATGATATTTCTCTGCTGTTTCTGGAAATGACATGTTCAGTCAGGATCTGTGGAATAGTTACGTGGAGGTAGTGTCTATCACTGTTGCAGATCCAGACATTCCAAGTGACTAATAATGCTGATCAACGCCATTTTTTTAAATTATTTTTATTTTGACTAGCATATCCTAGAGCTAATAGTTAGGTATTAATTACCTTCTCTAACCAACCTTTCCGTTAACACTGTAATTATTAGTTCCCCTTTTAACAAGATGGCATCATATTAAGTTTGATCATTTATGACTATGACTTTCGTATATAAAGAATTATTATATTTCACGTTACACAAGCAACAGAAGGAGTTCTATAACTAGAGGACAAGATGTAGAATGTTTTTAACCCCTTAAGGACTCATGACAGAAATATTCCGTCATGATTCCCTTTTATTCCAGAAGTTGTGCCCTTCAGGGGAGTCTATGGGTAAAGTTTGGGCCGTGAATTCCAGTGGACCCTTTGATTATCTGTGTTACATTCCAAATTAAATTACTGAAGTCCCAACGCAGGATTGCTTCCTCCCATAGAGTGACAGTAAATAGCAGACTCAACCAAACTTGACTAACTACTTCAAACTCTGAATTCCGTCAAAGACTAATAAATATTGCACTGTGGACATAATAGGCAGCCCATTCTGTAAAGGCATGCAACATGGGTTTTATCTATTTTTCCTTGTATGTCCGTCCCTATTCACACTGCCTTCTCACCGATACAAAAATATTTATCTCTCATAAACATATAAACAGAAAACATTCTCTCTAGCTGCATGGATCATGGAAGCATGTCATCAACACAGACTTTAACAAAAGACAAAATAGATGTAATCTTCGTACAGTGAACCACACGTATACACGAACACCATTCACGCACAGCTACACAAATAACTTTACAAGCTATTTATAATATACTTAATAGCACATGTATAGTTTTGTACTAAATTAAAGCACACCTAATTTTTTATACATGTGATATATATTACGGCTCTTTCCTTAGGCGTGCTCAAGGTAGAGAGTTTTGAATTTGAATTCCAGAGAGAGCGAGATTACAACATGGAATTTACAATCACTTTTTCCTGTTCATCTGGTACATAAGGAGCATAAATATAAAATTTATATTTGTAGGTACTGGATTATCACTAAGCAAAAAGTAATTATTTAACCTCCATTTTTTTTAATTTAAAATAAAAAAAAAATCTATCAGCATTAAAATATTTTTATTTTTTTTGTTGCTTTAATGAAACTGACGATCAATGCATGCTTTCCAATCCATATCCTAACAAAATGTGTTTATGAGAGGTGTACTGAGCAGAGAGACTGACCACAACGTGTCAAGCACAAACAAACAATGGTCATGCGTACACTGTGCTGGTGTCTGACCTGCCAGGAAATATTGTCAAAATCACCTGACTTTAAGAATTAAACTGGTGTGAAATTGTGATTACCAAGTATCTTTTTATTCCGGTGATGTTCAAACATATTTGGTTGTAATTATTTTGTCAATTTTAAGTCTATGCATGTCACTCACGGGGCAATAGAAAGGGACTGACCCTACTTCATTCCTGGAATTGAAAGGTATTTAAAAATTTTTTATTTATTTTTTAAATTTTTTTTTTTCAAGCTTATTATATACGGTAAAGAATCACGTTGTTGTGTGACTGTGGGTCAGGCAGTTGCAACCAAGTGCCTTCCTCATTTCCATAATTGCTCCTTATAATATTATAGAACACTCAAAGCGCCATTTTTCCTGCAGCACAATCTAGTGGTTATGGTGTCGGGAGTGCTCTGACGCCCCCTTCCCTCCATTGTAAGTAGTCAAACCGTTTTAAAATGGGGATTTCCGAGCACCGCAGCCTCCTCTCGGTTAGCTAATTGGCTAAGTGTTGTCAATACTGGATGTGCCCGTGCAGGAATTTTGCCATGAATTGCAACTCTAACATTGTGTAATGAATATGTAGATTTGAGTCATTTCTGAAGGATTTAGCTGGGCTAAATTACTTGCAATCCTACTGGACAATGTGTGTTTATAAAATTAAAAAGTTTGAAATACAAGTGATGAAGATTTTAGACTTGATAAAGGGAAGATCTGACTAAAGCTTTGTTGTTTTATTCTTCCAATATTCTTGTGGTCCAATAAAAAGATACTACAGATATTATCTTTGGTTTACACCTGATGTCATAAATGACTTTATCAGCAGTACTATTCTGCAGGCCAAGGACACTTAAACTCTGTATGTTTCTTCACATGTTGCTGTCCTTTTAAAGATTTTTACTGAAATAAGAATGAAAACAAAACCTGCTCATGTTTAAGAGACTTACCAAACAGGTTCTTCTTAAATATCCATAAAGTAGCTAGCTTAGCAAGTTCCACACAAATCCGAGATCTCTTAAGAGAATGACACAATAGTTCATATGTAGAGCTGTGGTTGTAGAGGGACTCACAGTTCTACTCCTATTCCTTTAAACATCTTTTGAAAAGTGTGCTTTTTATACATTTGTTAAAGACATGAGCGAGGCTGAGAAGCAAGAATTTTACAGGTATGAATATCCACACACAGTATCAAACTGAGAGGTATATGCCATGTAGAGTTTTTGGAAGGAGGGTGGAAGCTGATGTGTTTGACTGAGAATTATTCTTCAAGCAATTCCAGAATAATCTGGATGGAATGTGACCACTGAAATCAACCAATGCTTAACGCTCATCAGTAGAATCTGTTCAACCATTGGGTCGCAGGTTAGCAGCCCCAGTGGCGGACCCAGAGCCTGATCACGGGAGGGGCACTTGTAGACTATTTAAATAAATAATCCAGGTATAATAACCACTACAGCTCAGTGTAGTAGTTAGGGTGCCAGTAGTGCCAGGATCCCACCCCAGTGTAAGTAGTCATACCGTTTAAGAACAGTTTGCCAACTTACCTGGGGTCTGCTGGGATATAGGGCATAGGAGCAGTGGTGTGTGTTAGGGGTGAAGTGTGTGTGTGAGTGCGGCAGTGTATGTCAGGGTTGCAGTGTGTGTATAGGGGCACTGTATGTGTTTTTTGGGGCAGTGTGTGTATGGGGGGAACTGTGTGTGTGGGGCAGTGTGTGGGGGAACTGTGTGTGTGGGGCTGTGTGTGTGTGTAGGTGGCACTGTGTGTGGGGCAGTGTGTGTATGGGGGGCACTCTGTGTATCGTGGGGCAATGTGTGTATGGGGGCACTGTATGTGTTTTTGGGGGGAACTGTATGTCTGTGTGGGGCAGTGTGTGTATGGGTGGGCAGTGTGTGTATGGGGACAGTGTTTGTGGGGCAGTGTATGTAGTGTTTGTATGGGGGCAAAGTTTGTGGGGCAGTGTGTATGGGGGGCAGTGTTTGTATGGGGGGGGAAAGGAGGGTAGGTAGGCTTTTTAATAATAAAAAAAATGTATTTAATAAAATATATATATTTATGTCCCCCCTCCCTTCTTACCTTCACTGGGAGGAGGGGGGAATATTTTTTTCAATGGTGGTCCGGTGGGATTCCCTGGTGGTCCGGTGGGGAATCCCTGGTGGTCCCAGTGGTGGTGAGGTGAACTGTAGCCCGCAGCTCCAGGACTAGAGTTCACTCTCGTGAGATTTGGAGCGTTGCCGAGGTAACCGCGGCAACGCTCCAAATCTCGTGAGAGGAGGATCCGGAGGAGCTGCAGGCTGAGCTCCCGGGTCCTCTCTCCTCCCTCTCCCTCCCCTGCCGGCTGTCAGCACGGTGCCTGCGGATCGGGGAGGGAGATCTCTGATCTCCTTCCCCGGTCTGCAGGCACATAGCAGGGCTGGCACTTGGACAATGCCAGTCCTGCACTAGCCGGCAGGGGAGAATCTCGGGGGAGGGGGGAAATTGAAAAAAATGAGCAAGCGAAAACATCTGAGGGCCATTGACAAATGCGAAATGGTAATGGCTGGACAGCTGGGTCAGAGCAAAACGGCAAGTCTTGTGGGGTGTTCCCAGTATGCAGTGGTTAGTAAATACCTAACGCTGTGCAAGGAAGGACACTTAATTTTATGTCTTATTAATGTGAGTTAAGCTATCTTCTTGTTTATATCTGTTTTGTATTTGTGACGAGACCAATCTTGCCAGATTGCATTGGAGGAGCCTGGTTAGCCGCCTGCTCCCTTTAGACTATGGCCCGGACTTTTAAAAGACTTTATTCTCCCTGCAGAGAGGCTTGTTCATGCCTTTATGCCAGGGCGTTCGGTAGATCTACCGAACAAAATACCGAAGGCGCGACCACCGGGAAGCTGGCGTGTGCCATCAATTGACCACCCAGTAGTTGCGGTTAACTGCAGCTTAATTGACTGTTACTGGGTGGTCGCGGTTATACATAGCCGCCGCTAGGTGGCAGTGTTATGGAGTTCCCCGGATGGCCAGCGGTGCTCAGCCCGGAATCAGTGCACTAAAACTGGACACTTTTACGTGCAGGCATCGCTGAGCCTCCAGCCTTCCCTGCTTCTATTCGTGGCTGTTTAGCTGAACGCTGGATTGATCGGGACTTTACTTCAGTGAATCTTTTAACCCAGATAGCTATGCCATGGAGCCTATTCATCCAATTAAGACTTTGGCTCCATGGCAATTGAATTGTGTGTGTATAGGATCTGAGCGCTATTCGGTTGTTATGTGCGCTCAGATCCCAGCTATCTGGGGATATGTGACATGTATGGATTTTATGTATTAAATGTAACACTGTATGTTTTACTGTCTTTGTGTCCCCACGTGTATAATGGAGTTTTGCCTTTGTCCTGGGAGATAATTGGATTACTTCCCAATTATCTCCAGGATAGAGGGAGGGAAATTAGGATGCATTGTGGGGATGTTTTACTTCTGTGTGTCTGAATGTGATACATGTCTGTCTGTGTTACAGTCTTCCATCTGGTCCCCTAGGGGAGTGTCCACCAGGTGGGAGACCTGCATAAATACCGGGCAGGTAGCCCTCAATAAACCAGATCACTGCTTGACCCTCAACACAGAGCTTTGTTTCATCTTTGGGGGGATTTACTGTATGCTGTTAGAGACTGATTGCCAGGAGTGTAAGCCGCTTGGGTGCTTTTCCTGTTCGTCTGCTAGCAGCTATTCGTGAAGTTCCAGTTCGGGAGTTTGGAGTGCTATTTTGTAGGCAGTTCGGGAGTTTGGAGCATTCCTTTGTATCCAATTTGGGAGTTTGGAGCATTCCCTTGTATCCAGTTCGGGAGTTTGGTGTTCTGCAGTAGCTGTGCCTGTGTCTCTGGAAGGGAAGAACTACTAAACGGCGGTTTAACCCTTTTATGCCTGGGGGTGCCGTTACAATTGGTGGCAAGTGGCGGGATCGTTCCTACAGCCAGAAGGACAGCTACAGGAGACACCATTACGTGGATTTTACAATTTGAGGGCAATGCATGTCCCAGTACAGTGACCCTGACAGCACCGGGATGGAACCAGCAGTGGAGTACGATGAGGGTGTCATGGATGACCTAGATGCAGTCCGAAAAGGCATCTGGTACCAGGCACGGGGATTGCGGAGTACCAGCGGGGCGAGAGACTCCCCAAGCAAGACCAGTGATTGCAGAAGCGACTAGCCCTGCGGATGCCCTTCCTGGGAGAGCAGCCCCTGGAGGAATGGGTGAAGGAATTGGAGCTCCGAGTATGACAGGAGATGTGGCTTGAAGATGCCTACCAGGCGCTCTGGTGGTATGGGGCACAGTACCTGCCCTGGACAGCAGAGCATGACAAGCCAGAGGGAGAGGAGTTTGATGGTCCTGGCTTGTTATGGGTGACTTTTTCAGAGCCTGAGTTTGGGAGCCCTACACAAGCCCGGTTCCATAATCTCTGAGTGGAGGGAGAGCAGGTATGACTGGGACAACACTCACGAGATTGAACAAGATCTGGTCCACCTGGTGACCCGGGAGATGGAGCTGGAACAGGGCTACCAGCAGCTGTTCCACTCCAGTGAGAAGGCTCAGCAGGAGAGCAGAGTGACAGACCCAGAGCCAGACCCATTCAGCTGGGATGAGATAGTAGAGTTTTACTAGGAAGAACCCCACGTGGCCAGTGGAGATGGGATCAAGGTCTCTCCACCGGTCCTGCAGGGAATTGGGAGCCCAGTCTCGATTTCCCAGTGGCAGGCTGAGTTACAGGGGGCAGAGACAGTCTGTCCTGTCCCCCGGCAGCAGAGTGAATTGCAGGGATTTGGGAGCCCAGTCTCCATTCCCCAGCGGCAGGCTGAGTTACAGGGGGCCAGAGACAGTTGGTCCTGTCCCCCAGCAGCAGTGTGTGTTACAGGGAATTTGGAGCACAGTCTCCATTCCCCAGAGGCAGGCTGCGTTACAGGGGGCAGAGACAGTCGGTCCTGTCCCCCAGCAACAGGGCTGTTTAGCCAAAGGGGAGACAGTCGGTCTCCCCCTACAGTAGCAGAGCTGTGCATCCAAAGGGGAGACAGTCGGTCTCCCCCTCCAGCAACCAGACTCCAACCAGACTACTCCCGTGGTAGTGCTGGCACCAGAGCAGAGTACCGCTGGTCTCTGCCCACTCAGCAACCCACCAAGGCAGCCTACCAGTCCCCCACACAGCCGTGGTGAGGCACCTGAACATGGACAAGTTTCTCCCTTACCCAGGTGTAGTAACCAGTTATTGTGGGTGGCTGTATTACTGTTTGTGCTTCGTGGGTGGGCTGCTGGACTAACCAGGGCACTGACCGGCAGGTGGTCAGATACCCTGTTAGTCTGCCTGGAAAAGGGGAGAGATGTGACGAGACCAATCTCGCCACATTGCATTGGAGGAGCCTGGTTGCCCGACTGCTCCCTTTAGACTATGGCCCGGACTTTTAAAATACTTTATTCTCCCTGCACAGAGGTTTGTTCATGCCTTTCTGCCAGGGTGTTTGGTAGATTTTATCTACCGAACAAAATACAGAAGGAGCGACCACCGGGAAACTGGCGTGTGCCTTCAATTCACCTCCTGCCATTCATGTGGATGTTACTTTGCCACCAACTACCTGCCTAGAGATTGTTGCAGACCACATACACCCCTTCATGGCACTGGTGTTCCCTGGTGGCAGTGGCCTCTTTCAACTGGATAATGCACCCTGCCACACTGCAAAAAATGTTCAGGAAGAGTTTGAAAAACAAAACCAAACAAAGAGTTCAAGGTGTTGCCCTGGCCTTCAAATTCCACAGATCTCAATCCTTTTGAGCATCTGTGGGATGTGTTGAAACAACAAATCCGATCCATGGAGTCCTTACCTCGCAACTTGCAGAACTTATAGGATCTGCTGCTAATGTCTTGGTGCCAGACACCATTGGACATGTTCAGAGGTCTTGTAGAGTCCATGCCTTGATACATCAGAGCTGTTTTGGCAGCATGAGGGGGACCTACAGGATATTGGTCAGTTGGTTTTAATGTTGTGGCTGAACAGTGTATACATGTGTCTTTATTATTAGCTACTATAATAACTTATTAAAGTGGATACAGCCAGAGTGCAGACCAAAAAAATTAAATAGCTGCTTCACTGTAGTAAATAACAGCAAAAAGCTAATTAACCAAAAGTTAAAAACTAGCAACAGTAATGTGTTTCCACTCCATTAAAGTAACTGAAAGTAAATTAAAATAATGTCTCCATATATGGAACCTGTGTATACTCTGTGACACTGCAAAGTTTGCAGTGAAATGATGCGTGTAAAGATAAAGCTGGCGGACTATAGTGTTATGGTGTTTGGAGTGTTACTATGAAGAATTGACCACTAGGGTAAAGCCATGCACATAATATAAATGATCAATAATAATACTGATTATTCATGGATATTATGTGATCACATTAACACACTAAACATTCATGAGGCTCATATTTTATACGCATGTAGAATTATTTCATGTTAGCAAACTTTTTTATAATTTTAATATTGTGTATTTATTTCATTCAGGATTGTGGGGCGTTGTGAATAACGCTGGCATATCCACTTGGGGTTTGTCAGAATGGATGTCCATTGACCAGTACAAAAAGCTAGTTGACGTGAATTTGCTTGGAACCATCAGGACTACATTAGCATTTACTCCACTTGTAAGAAAAAGCCAAGGTAAGGTCTGCAAAGTTTCATTTAACGTGATATCAACCTTTGCTCTGTTTATATATTTTGAAAACCCTCCCATAGGGCTTGTTAGATCCTGGGACCCAGATCAATAAACTTTCACATAATAATACTCATAGCAGCTAACTTTTTCTATAACATTTTTTTATTTATTAAAATGATACTACAGGCATTAAATTTACTTTAACTTTATGAAGCAGGTGTGTATAGATTATACACCTGCAGCCTCTCTGCTGAATTATATAAAAAAAAAAATTTTTTAAAGGGACACTCCAGACCCCGAAACACTTTAGGCATGTCCTCTTCTTTTTATTTTGCAAAAAGTGCAGATTTCGATAGAATCTGACATTTTTGTAAAGTTGGCATAATAATCTAATAACCACCAGGTTCAGAGAAGAGTTTTATTGACCGAGCGAAGCAACTGTGATCACAGTTAGCAAGCAGAGTCTGCCAGGGTCATAAAAGCAAGGGTCTTTATATATTAAAAAGATTAACAATGATCCTTTAGAATATCTCGTAAAATGGGCATTGTTCAAATAATTCAAGTTTTAACTTTGAGCTAACATTAAAAGTTACAAAAATCTCTCATGTAAATCACACAACCGATCCTGTTACTTCCTACTCAGTGGAACTAAACTCAAGACCACTTCTGGCTATAAATAAAAATCATTTTTTTATTTTTTTGTGCCAATGATGGAACTCCACATTACAAGCGGCACTATCCGTACTTGCCTCTCTGCTATTGTTTCACCTTCTCTAGGGACTACTTTGTCTTATGTATTTTTCCTACGCTTGAAAATCTTGGCAAAGGATGGAGCTTAAATCCGCTTCATTTCCTGTGTCGAAAGTCTTCCCACAACACTCGCTCTCTTCAGTGATCATGTGATGCTTCGTGCTTCATGTGCTGTGACCGAACGTCCTGTCATTTAGACAGGGTGCCGGCAAGTTGACTGTCATTGTTCATTCGTGTTCGGATGATATTTGTTATTGTGTTCGGTTCTTGCCGCGGCTGCATCTTGTAGTTGTTTAGCAGATAGCTCCTTAATACCCACAGTATTAGGGCACTATCTACTAAAAAGCTAAAATACAGAAATTGATCTTTTAGCCAACTTTACTAATACCAAGTAAAAATTAGTTTAAAATTAATTTTGTTCTGATTTACAGAGTACAGTAAATGTCTAGGATTTCAGTTTATTTTGAAAGTTACAGGTCAGAAAATACAAGGAGTAAAATAAAATTTGAATGTGAAACAATTTTAGAAGTTGGTATGTTTGTCTAGTAAGCTTAATAACCATCACAGAAAACAAATTGCCACACAAAAGTATATATTTATATAAAGTAGATATAACATGCTATTTACCTAAAGGTATTTAAGTACTTTTCACGTAGCCATTTCACCACCAAGCTGCTAAATATTGTAGTAAAATTTGTGTTTTTTTCTGTTTTTGACATACAGACCTATAAGAAGGTTGTGTTTTTTTTTTAATGTGTATTTCATAATGTTGACACGTGATACTCCTGTACAAAACCCCATATAGCAGTTGCATTTGCTGAGTACAACAATAGCTCCCCTGTATGCCTTTGCCATTATTCTGTGAAGCTACAACACCATATAAGAGACCAGGTTATTCCAGTTTCTATGGTTATAATTTTCATAGATTTGATGGGCCTGTCTCATTTTGGGACATATTTTCTCAGTTTGGCTATTCAAATAACCCCACAAAGAAAGCAGACACTCCAGAAACACAGATGAAGATTTTTTTTTTTTTTTTAATGGGTATGGGGGGGGAGGAGGGGGGATTAATTTTCACCTGTAACTCAATTCTTCAGCACAGGTGTCTGTCGAAGAGTTAATTGATAGGTGAGAAAAAGACCTCTTGCTAGATAGGTTTTTCTTCCAATATATATATTTTAACACAATATACAGTGTTCTAGGTGCACGCTCCAGGACAATATATATTCAAAGTGAAAAGCACACTCGTAGAATTTCAAAATAAAAAAGATAACTTTGTTTTACAGCTGTGCAACAGCATACATCCACCATTTCAGTCCCATTACCAAACTTTCCATAATATCTCAAGGTAGTTGGACCGAAACATGGATTATATGCAAATGCACGTCTCCTTAAAAGAAAATCGCTCTGTCTGCTTATTTTGAAGCCTTGTGAGTGCTTTCTTTCATGTTAGAGTAATAGTTTTCAATTTTAAGTTATCCTTTCAATCTCTATATGTGCACACTATGCTGGAGTAACGCATTATTGGGCGGATATAGAATTTTTCCAGGGCTGCTTTTAGTTCCCAGTCCGACACTATAGATGCATAACCGAGTAAAAAAGGAGCAAACGTATAAAACTTAGTTTACATTGAAGCGTGCCTACAGAGCTGTACATTACAGCAAACAATTCCACAGGTGCTGATAAACATACGAGAGTTTTATAAACCCTAGTAGTTCACTATTCCACTTACAATCAATCTAGAAAAGTGATTGACAATGCTGTAATGATAGTTGTGGCTCTCCATCAAATTCCTTGCAGGAATAGCTTCACATATAAAATTCCATAAAGCCTCACGATTTGCTGTGAAAACTCAGAAAAAAATGCATTTGCGTGTTTAACAAGAAGGTACAATATCGTATCCGTATACTAATGTATAATACATATTGCAAATGGAAGATAATTCCTCAACTCCTTTCTTCTACATTGTGCTTCATTATAATTATTGTTCAATTATGTTTTGATATTACACAAGTTTATGAGCTGTAGATGGGGTTTCACAAATTCTTCACTTTGATTGTTTATTTTTCTTTTTGTAGGGCGTATGGTGTTTTTATCAAGCATCAGCGCCATTATGAGTTTAGGAAATGGCATCTATTCGTTGACGAAGGCTGGCATTGAAAAATTCTGTGATTCACTCCGGTTAGAAATGAAAAGATTTGGAGTCAAGGTAAAATTTATCCTTTTATGCTTATTTTTGGGAAACTGCTAGCAAACCGCTCTGCTTTATAAGCAATTAATTTCAGGTTTTTGGGTGAAATTCTTCTTTTCAAGATTGGTATTTGTGGCAGTCGATTTATTTTTCATTCTTTATTTTTGGGGTGCTTTCAATACATAATAAACAAAAGGTGACCTTGGATTTGACATAAGCTGGGTACTGTATATTACGTGGATACAACAAGGATTTTGCACCAATTTTCATGTAAAGAAAGAAAAAGGTACAAACTGAGATCAGACAGTATCAACTAAGGAAGCACGTATCAGCAGATACAATTAGCTGGATTTAATTATCAAGTTATATCAGCCTGTAGGATATCAGCTAGGAACAAGTTGGTTACCGATAACCCCAGGTCCCGAAACAGGTAGTGTGCTTCCGAGGGTTGGTAACAGGGGAGGCCTTGCAGTTTTTCTCCACTAGGAGCCATCAGGAGCCCCATTTGTAGATTATCTTATGGTCTCTGAAGATTTGGGTGACCGGTCAGAAAAACTGTCTCCAAATAGTCATATGGCAGCCTTGGAAGGTTGTGGAAGTGGTGCCTCTGGTCGCCCCTGTTGTCTGAATCCTTAATAAACCTCAGTAAAACATCCCTGTGTGCCATTGGGGACTTTGTCAAATGGAGGCAGTAATCAAGGGTGACCTGTTTTGCGTAGACAGGAGGCTCCTGATGAAGTGGGGCGGTTCCTCTGCAATAACTACCTCAGAGACCCCCTTTAGCCGCACATTTCTTGCCCTGGACCTATCCTGCAAGATAGCCATGCGGTTATTCAGATCGGCATTACTTTTCTGCAAGGTGTTGAGAACCGCGTCTGTGGCAGTCTGTGCCACCTTTTGTAGCGCCTAGATTCTCTTTTGCTGAAACAATTCAACCGATGAGGCTGCCATTGTGGGCACTGTTGTCTTTGAGAATGTAGACAGTCTGAGGCAGGCTTTCCTCTTCCATGGAAGCCGAAGTGTAGGCCCCCACAGGTGCCATTTTGGCCATCTCTGACCTAACCTGCTTGCGTAGTAACATCCTGATATCTCAGGATCCTGGGTCTGGATCTGCCTGGTACTTTTTGGATTTTTATTTTTTTTCCCCCATCGGTATGGAGGGGAAGGTAACCAAAACCAGGCATGTAGGCATGCAGTAAGGGGCAGGTAAGCACTATTTTCAACTTGTAGAGCCAGAGCTTATGCAGTGTGCGTCCGACTAGATCGGGCATAACATAAATATGTTATGCCAGCTGAATGGCAATTGTTTTAGATTTCCAGATGTAATAAAATCGATGGGTTTTTTTTTTTTTTTAATTTTTTTTTAACGAAAGAGAGGGTTTCAGCATAGTACTTACTCATACAATATCTGTGCAGCTACCCCTTGCTGTCCTGGAAACTGGATTTGGGGTAATATCTGCAAATCTACATATTTGGTAGTGGGTCAGCTGTCGTGATGTACAGATAAAATTAAATTATTTGCAGATTATAATTGGAAAACTTAAAATTTAGAAAAATAAAGAAACATTACATGCATTTACATATGACTCACATTACAATAAACTCCTTTATTTGTGTTGAACAAATATGAGTGAATATAATTTGCACAAATCAGTAAATAACCAGCAGATCAGTATATAACCAATAGATTTATGCTTATCTTCTAAACGTCATCCATGTAGCCAAACTCTGACTATCCTGTAACTGTATCAAAACTCTGAAAGCTCTGTGGGAGATACTGATAAAGGGGGAAAAAACAGCCAGGAAGGAAAAAGACGGTTGGATGCCAGATGATGCTTAGTGCCGGTGTCTGTACTTTCTACAATATTCTAAGTCATGGCAACAGTTCATAACAACTGTTTGTCATTAAACAGGAGAAACTACCTAATCAAGTTGTGACTATGGCTCAGTTTCAAAATTGTTCCGGATCAGCTGCCATTGCCTCTATTTTGCCGTTCAGGCTTACAAAGAAGTTAAAGGACCACTCTAGGCACCCAGACCACTTCAGCTTAATGAAGTGGTCTGGATGCCAGGTCCTTCTAGGGTTAACCCATTTTTTCATAATTATAGCAGTTTCAGAGAAACTGCTATAATTATGAATGGGTTAAGCCTTCCCCCAAAGCCTCTAGTGGCTGTCTCATTGACAGCCACTGGAGGCGCTTGCGTGCTTCTCACTGTGAAAATTACAGTGAGAGCACGCCAGCGTCCATAGGAAAGCATTGTAAATGCTTTCCTATGAGACCGGCTGAATGCGCGCGCAGCTCTTGCCGCGCGTGCGCATTCAGCCGGCGGGGCGTAACGGAGGCGGAGAGGAGGAGGAGAGCTCTCCGCCCAGCGCTGGAAAAAGGTAAGTTTAAACACCTTTCCTCTCCCCAGAGCCAGGCGGGAGGGGGACCCTGAGGGTGGGGGCACCCTCAGGGCACTATAGTGCCAGGAAAACGAGTATGTTTTCCTGGCACTATAGTGGTCCTTTAATTGAATAACCCTGTCAGCCTCTATAGTATTTGAAAATACCATATTCTATATGATCATACATATATTTTTAATTCCATTGATCTGCATGTTTGAAAATGTTCTCTGTGCACTGCATTGAGCCAGGAACCTCAGTGGGTAATCATATGGAGGTATAGTGCATAGGGAAAGGTATATTTATTTTTAATAATCTCCTACAATCTACCTAACGAATTAGAAGTCTATTTTTTCAGATGCTTCCTGTACATAGAACATGATTAGCTGCACTTCCCTGATGAGATAATAAAATCAATTGTTAGATGTTACTATGCCTTCCATGCAGTGGGCATTTTGGTTCTGGTCTGCCTTGTCAGAAAGATCAGCCTGATATGCTAAAGGTATAGGATCGCAGTGTGATGGCACATAATTGTGTGACACTTACAATAAATAGGCATGTCTCAAATTCCCTTTGGCTGCCACGTATTTTTTTTTTTGTTCGTTTTGTTTTAAAAATTATGCTTTATTTGTAAAGTTATACATAAGGAAAACCTGCAGATTGACCAAAACTGACAAACTGTGATCTTTGTCAACGTTGCCATTGGCCGTCTTCATCTATACTCCCCTCTCTCCAGTGTCGTGTCACTTCTGGAAACGTCATGTCACAGGTTCTCCGTGTTGACTCTCAACATTGCGGGAGTCAACAATGAGGTCAGTGGAAGCTGCCTTGTATTGAGCATCCGTGTGATTTAGAAACTTTAAGATGGCTATGCCGAGAAAGAAGACCAGGTGGGACAGGAAAAACTTAAAAAATGGTTAGTTGCATCAGTCCTGTTATCGGCAAAGGTTGGGGGAAGGGTCCCGGCCACTAGGGAAAGGTAGTCAAGGGATCAATAAAATGATGAAGATGCTTTAATTAAATGAAGTTTGGTCATACATGCTGCCCCTACAGCCTTGGTGACATGGAGAAAAAGCACAGTTAATATTTTGTCCCATGGACACTGTATATTTGGGAAGAGTAGGCAACCACCTTCTGGTTAAGCTGGATACCTAGGGCCTGGTATCACCATCGTGACCTTTTCCAACCCAGATCTTCTGCCTCTAATATATTATTTACAATTAATGCCCTTATAAAAAAAAAAAAAAGCAATCACTGTAATTTATTTATTTATTTTTCTTTTTTTTTCCTTTTTTCCTTTTTTTTTTTTGTCAGGTCAGCATTATTCAACCCGGAAATTACGCAAGGGCCACAAATATCCAACCGCAGAGGACTGCAGAAGAGGTTTGGAATTCCATCCCTGCACACGCTAAAGATGTTTATGACATGGGATTTGTGAAGAAAATGACCGACTTTATTAATAGAGAAGTTCTCAAGGGAAGCGATAAGGGTTATGAGATCATAGATGCCATTGTAGACGCTCTTACATCAGATAAACCAAAGATCCGATATTTGGAGGCAAGCCTACAGGAAAAGATAGCAGTGTTCTTGTACTTCTATTTACCAACCTCTTTTGTAGACGCAATTCTGGCTAAATCTATCAAATAGTGACTGGTGCTTAGTACACGTGTTTTTGTATCTTTATTTACCAATGTCAGTTATCTTACAATGTATCAGTTTTAATGAATCAGACACGCGTTTAGAGATCGGGGCAGTCAGTGTTATTCACTAGAGTGCAAGCTTTCTGGAATTCTACATTTTAAAACTGTTGACCAAGTTTGAAAATTTTGTTTTCAAGTTCAGCTAATTTAGATGACAATTTCCTGACAGTTAACACATTTATGTAAAACCCTAATTGTTTTTTTTTTTCCAGTCATAATTCATGCATGTTTTTAACATTTATAAAGTATGAAAAATTAAACTAAACTTAAAAATTGACTCTTTATTCTGCAAACGGGTGTCTTGGCGTGAACAAAAAATAAATAAATTGAACTCCCACCCTGTAGATAGTACAAATAAATTACTAAAAGGTAAGCTAAAAGTATGTGGTCCCTTTCAATAACTGGTGATATAATGATTGTGATGAACTCCGTATTTCTCAGCTTCTAGGAACAGTTTCCTCTAGTTCGTTTTTTCTCTGTTCAATATTTGTAACCTACCGAACACTGACCACTCCCCTGCCTCGTTAACTACAAAGTAACCACAAACTTAAGTGCTCTCTCTGTGTGGCCACCGTTTGTATAACCGAACAACGCATGCTCTAGAAAATGGCGGCCATCTTGTCTCCCGAACGCAGGCAGCGGCACTTGTTCGTCGATCGTGTGGAACTCAAAGTAGGAAACCTCAACAAGTGAATCTCAGTGACTTTGTACTGACGCCTGCTTCCATTCCCGACAAGGCAGGAGAACGCAGTTAGGTGGAAATGTTCGCACAAACTAGGGGAACATTCGCTACCACGAAAGGTGACCAGCCAAAGCACCAAACGCTCTGGAGCTGTTTTGGGCATGGGACCACGTGTGCGGCTGGTCAATACTTTACCCCGGTGGTGATTTGACTAGTAGTCTGAGCGCTATTTGGACAACGTGGGCACTCCGACCCAGGCTATCCAGGGATATAATGCTTGTGTGGGGTTCCCATCGATATTATGTGTATTTTGGGGTGTTTTTTTGTAATATTTCGTAAGCTCTAGTGCCTGGGAGATAAGTGAGCTTGCTTTTGCTTAAACTAATTATCTCCCAGATACAGAGGCGCCTGGGGGGGAGCTTACTGTACAAATGAATGGAGACCCCATGCTGGGGGTCTGTGTATATAAACTAGAGATGTGCATGGAAAAAATATTTGGTTCGGCATTCCGAAATTCGGCACTTCAGAACTTTGGGACTTTAGCACTTTGGCACTTGGGGTAAGTGTAGGATTAGGGTTGGTTTAAGGGTAGAGGTAGGCTTAGAGGTAGTGTTAGGGTTGGGTTGGTTTAGGGGTAGGGTTAGAGGTAGTGTTAGGGTAGGGTTGGTTTAGACGTAGGGGTAGTGTTAGGGTTAGGGTTGAGTTATGAGCAGGGTAAGGAATAGGGTTAGGGGTACGGTTAGGAATAGGGTTAGGGTTACCTTATCCTAACCTCCTGTTTTGCCACTTTTCAGAAATCCAAAGCACTTCAGCACTTCCGAACTTTGGTTCGGTTCAGCATTCGGAAATTCGGCGGTTCGGTTAGGGTAGGGATAGTGGTTGGGTTAGGGTTGGTTTAGGAGTCGGGTTAGAGGTAGGGCTAGTTTTAAGGTTAGGGGTAGGATTGAGTTAGGAGCAGGGTTAGGGTAGGGTTAGGGGGCAAGGTTAGGGTTAGCATAGGGTTAGGGTTACCCTACCCTAACCCTACCCTAACCTCCTGTTTTGCCACTTTTCATAAATCCGAAGTAATTTGGTTTGGCATTCCGAAATTCGGCACTTCGGATATTCGTCCGAATTTGCATTCGGAACAAAACAAATTGCGCATGTCTAATATAAACATCTTGTACACTTCATCAAATCTTGGCTGATTTTTGGGTATACCAGAGTTATAATCACTGCTTCATTTCGGGATCTGGAAGACTCTTCAACGGATATACTCAGTCTGAGTATAGGGGCTCCGTTACACTAACAAACAGCTCTAACAATCTAAAATAACTCTCCCCTCTGAATTTCTTTATTGAAGAGAAATAATAACAGTGTAGCTAGCTTAATAAAATGTAGTGAAGAATTGATAACCCCTTACTGACAAGATATCAGAGTTTTGTACACACCCACTGCTTTCTAACAGATAACTAGCATAATACTAAATGTAGTCTTCTATACAGACAGATACATTGTCCGTATTTAGGATAGAGGGCAAAGAGCTTTGGCTTGTAATAACTCTAGCAAGTGTAACTAAAGTTGAAAGCTTAGTGTGCTATAACAAATAAATGATGTTAAATAGTCATCTATAACAAATAAAATGGCTCTGTAAACAAAAATGAACTTTATGTAATCTGTCCCTCCATGGTTTACTGTGTCTGAATCTCTGATTATATTTTTCTCAATTTCTCTAGTTTTAATAGAATATATAAAATAAAGTAGGGCTTCAACTTAATGCCAGCCGCACCTCCAACAAAGTCATGTGAAAGCTTATAATATTCCAAAGAAGGCTTCTAGAAGCATAGCCAGACCAGTCTCTTAGCTTGTAGAGCTCTCCCATATCTAAGAATTCCACTGTGAAGAACAGATGAGGTCTGCAACCATACTATGCTAGGATGGGATAACACCTGGAGGAGGGGTTAGAACAAAGCAGAAAAATGGGCATGAGGCATGACCACTAAAACTGATATCTAGACACGTTCTAGAGTGGATCACCAATTCTCCATTTTTGAGCTGTATGCCAACAGATCCGGGAGAAGAATGGATTGTTCCCTTTAAAGTCAGTGTTTCTACGGTCATGGATTACTGGAAACACAAGCAATGTTATTGCAAGCTATTATCCCCAGAGCTAGGTTAGCAGCTGACACACTCCCATTGGAACCAAATTTGCATCAGTCAGACCTGTAATGGATTCTGAAGGGTATAGCAATGCTTTTGGGTGCAATAAGAGTGATCCAATTACAAAGATTGTCTTTTCTATTCTTTAGTGAAACTCAAACCATTTCTGATTATAGCACTAAAGTGAGCGTTTGCTCTCTAACCTAAAATGTCTAAACCTGCAGCACTGTAACAAGTAAATTTTCTTTAGCACTGTGTCCATGTGGGCCATGAGGGCTCTGATGTCACTAGTGTAAAATGTAAGATGTCACTGAACAAAGTAAACAATCTCTCACTCTTTCCCTATAGACTTTAATGGTGACTTCTGCAGATATTTAATTTACAAAGTTTTTCTAACAGTTTTGAATCATTTGAAAAGCTTATTAATCGAGGCCATAATTTGTCATGGGGCTTGGTGTGTTCCAGCAGGAATCATTAATATTAAAATCATTGAAAACCTATTGGAGAACTGCAACTCCCATGATGCTCGTAATCTCTGAGCAGCCAACCGACTGGGTCCCACTCATTCAATCATTCAATCAATCAATCATTTATACATATGATGCAAGACAGGTTTGTCCTCTAAACGAAGTATTTGGAAATTACACTACAGACAACACAGTTGGTCCTTTTTATAATATTAACACTAATGCAGACAACAATGTTTTATATTGTTATATAGCATAATAATAAATTAGAATGCATATAGATATATCATCGAAGCAGATGTAAAATAGCAGATTAACCCTTTAGTGACTGCGGATGTACAGGGTACGTCAGACAAAAAATGGTCATTAACGACCGCTGGCATACCCTGAACGTCCGCGGTACATTTGAGCACTTGAAGCAATCATGATCGATTCCAGTCGAAGCATATTGCAATAACCCCCTCACTGTCGGGCCGCCGGGTGATCACTCCCTTGGAGCGATCACTTCCGGGTTGCTCCACGTGGCGCCCGTCAGTGAGGCAGAGCATCGGGAGCCATCAGGCAGGCTTCCGATGCTCTACCTGTGTGCTGAGTTCCTCGAGAGGTTGAGATTTTGGGAGTCAAACTTAATAAAAGTGTGGTTTTTTTTTTACATTTTTTCATCATATTGATCGGTTTTATAGTAAATTATATGATATGATGAAAATAATGGTATCTTTAGAAAGACCATTTAATGTCGAGAAAAACGGTATATAATATGTGTGGGTACAGTAAATAAGTAAGAGGAAAATTACAGCTAAACACAAACACCGCAGAAATGTAAAAACAGCCCTGGTCCCAAACGGTAAAAATTGAAAAGCGGTCTGGTCACTAAGGGGTTAAATTTGTATCTTGTAAGACCTGTTTTATTGGACTAACGGAATTTTGGAATGGCAAGCTTTCGGGAGAACCTCTCTTTCTCAAGTCTTTCTTTCTCTCTCCCTCAATCTGTGATCCTTAAACAAGCTGTTTACGACTTCTATATCATGAGACAATTGAAGAATGAATACCGGTGTTAATTCTCCACATTAACAATGGGTCACCAAACTAATCCCATGAATATAATCTGTGTGCCTGTCAATACATGTTCGGAGTCTGCAGAACAAGACACCAGAGCAATGTCACACACATCCAGTGTTTCTAGAATGGAGGGTGTAGCTGCGAGTCAGGATGGCTTGTCACATGTAAATTGAGAATAAGGTGGAGTCACAGCAGTCAGCTGCTACACACACATTCATGCACACGCCCCGAGTGTGTTACGTTGTGTGGTTCCCATGGAGATAGTATGTTGCATCCTTCTCTAACAATCAGCTGTAACAAGCAGGTCTACCAGCTGACTTAGCAACACCAGGTAAAATAATAAATCCATCTATATAAATACATATTGCTGCTTTCTACATAGTGTCTAGCTTTTTTTATGCGAAATACCTATTTAACACTTTGTTATTGCCCAGGCTGTCTGACGGTGATAAGAGGTGAAGCCCACAATAGCTGGTCTGTCAGATGTGGTCAATCACACTTTGTTTTGATATTGGTGGTTCACCAAAATATTGGTTATACTTTGCCGCTGCAGGTATTGTGGCTGAGCATTATGGTAAATGGAGTCCACAAATGCTGGAGTGTCTTTTCAGCTAATTCGTTTAACTTATCTTGAAAAGGTGGGCAACTTTGGTCTGACGGCAAGTTTAGCTCTGTAGTCCAGCCAACCATGACAGCCCCTATTATCATTGTTTTCTAATATTTATTTATTTATTTAAAATTTTACCAGGAAGGATACATTGAGATTTCTCTCGTTTTCAAGTATGTCCTGGGTTTCAATTATGTTATGCAAAGCTACTGACTAAAGTGGGAATCATCAGCAATTCAAACTGAGTTTCAAATGTAAAGCCCAAATAACTGATCTGGAATAATGCTCCAAGTCAACTATGCTTTCGCTTCCGCTATTTTGGTCTTGTATTTGAAATTAACTTTTTATCCATTTGGATTTCCAGCAATGCTCACTCTAGTGATTGCCCTCAGTATGCAATTTGTTTTAGAAGACAATATAGAGATATCTAGTCTGAGTTAATAGCATTCAGGCAAGATCCGAAGCTAGGGACTGTCAATGGAAATCTAGGAGCATTGGCATGAATGCAAAGGTGATAAAAGCAGCAGGTAAAATATTGCACGGGATAGAAGAGTCATTTTTTCCTGTCACTTCTGATGCCTTTATAAATCGGTTTTACCTAGTAAATGGACAGTACTTGCTACGTTTCACTAAATTGTGACTTTTCAAGTTTAAATTCCAGAGCAAAATAGCCACGTTGAAAACGTTCAGATCAGCTCTGTTTTCAGTAAAAATTTTAATTTAAATACAAAAAGAGAAGTCCTGCGCTCACTCCCATCACTCCTGGGCGGCAGCAATGACTACAGTACACATAAGCTAATACATATAGTAAAAACCAAAGAAAAAAGTTATCTGCGCTCTCTCCTTAATCCCTATGTATATTTAAACAAATGGAGGTCATTTAGTTGCTCCAATGGCCACTAGAGGGAATGCCCGCCTGCCAACGTCAAGGCAGACTCTCCTAGACAGGTCCTACTCTGACCCTTCACCTTGCTTCCTTGAGCTTCTGGCAAAAATATCTCTAATGTTACAGAAAGGGGTATTTTTTATATACACCCCTATATACTTGTTAACCCTTAATAGGGTTACTTTGAAATTCTCACTATTCACATGTTTGTGAATATCCCTGCCAGAGATGTATTCCTGTAGAATTCTGTAATATTCATACACGTTTGGTTTTGGTCGAATGGCAATTTGTCAAAATTTAGGCAGAATCGTGGGTCTTCTGAATTCTGTAACTCTGAAGCGATATGTGGACGTAAAACTGACAGAACAACAACATAGCCAATGTGCATGTTTATTTGAGTTGTGATACGGAGTAACGTTTCTGGCAACCAGAACATTCCTGTTCCAAAAACAATGTGTAGAATGGAGAAGAATTGCCATGATTGATGTCTGCTTAATGGAACATTACAGTCTTTACCTATTTAGGTGACTGCCCCCCTTACATCGCATGGGAAAGGTGTTTTTAGTCCCCATTTTTCCCATGCCACGCTGGTCTTACCATAGCTGGACCTACCTCCATGTTTTGATGACCTCAGCCAATTCAATGACTTCCCATAGGAAAGCACTGAGAGGCTATTGTGCATGCGCCGATTTAATGCATCTCTATGGAGAAGTTTCGGCCCCTCCAGGCAGAGCGTGGAGACACTAAACTCCACACTAGACTAGGAAGCAACTCTAGTGTCTGTTTCAGTGACTGCATCTAGACTGGTTACTAAGCAGTGTTTACAGTGCTTTGCCTCCAGGGACAGTCTATACATACCAGAAACCAGGGCCGCCATCAGGGGGTGACAACCATGATGGTTGTCACGAGCCCGGCGGTCCTGGGGGGCCCGGACTGCTCTGGCAATCTCAGGCCCCACATTCCCTCTCTGCACACATAGATAGCGAATATCGCTATCTATGTGTGCAGCCGCGGGCCACCGGTTCCATGTTACCGCAGAGGGGGCCCAGCACACTGCGTCTTCACATTCAGTTCATTTCCTCCAATAACTCTCGCGAGACCCGCAAGAGTTATTGGAGGAAATGAACTGAATGTGAAGACGCAGTGTGCTGAGCCCCCTCTGCGGTAACAGGGAGCCGGGGGCCCCATCATGCCACCGGACCACCAGGGAATGGAAACTCCCCCCTCCCTGGACACAGGGATGGGGGAATAACATTTAATTAAATTTCATGTGAAAATACCCCTTCCCCCCCCCCCAGTTTGCACATTTACACACACACTGCATACACCAATACAACACACACACTGCATACACCAATACAACACACACTGCGTACACTAATACAACACACACACTGCATCCGCTACACACACTCTGCATTCACTACACTCTAACACACTCTGCATTCACTGCACTAACACACACACT